AGGCTGACGCGAAGTGAACGCAATGCGAGGTCGAGGAAAAATGGAGAAAATCATGGTTGCCCAGAGTGACCTGCTGATGAGAATTACTGAGCTCGAGACATCGTTGGCGACAGAGCAAGAGAAAACGACGGCTATGGGAGAAAGGCTGAAGTCCGCCGAGGAAGCACTGGCCAAGGTGAACAGAGGAGCGGCCTACGGAGAGAACAGCAGGGAACTGGCAACCATAACGGCGGAGAAAGAAGAGCAAGAGTTTGGAAAAAACAGGTTCAGCTGGTTCAATTGTCGCAAGGTCCAGCTTCAGCGAAGTAGTGGTAGGGCGGGGAGGGGTCAAAGCAGTCGGCGTCACAGGTGCATGTAACCCCCAGGTGCAGGACGCTCCAGCTGAAAAGTCACTGCACGTGATAATCGCCGGGGACTCGAATTTAAATCGATGCACAGAAGCCATCAAAGAGGGGGTAAGAGGGGACAAGAAGGTTGCAGTCGGGGCGTTCCCAGGACGCAAGCTGGAAGCAGTAATGAGGCAAGCGAGCGCAAAACTCAAAAACTACAGCTGATAGACGAAACCTCGTGATAATTTCAGGCGCTTTAAACGATGTCTTAAATGAAGATACTGCAGGAGTAGCAACCACACTGGCGAAAGGCGTCGATGACATGCGCGCCACTTCTCCTCAGGTACAGGTAGTGATATGCACGATACCAGAGGTACCGGTGCGTGACAGCAACCTGCAAAGAGCGGTTGTCAACGCAAACCAAGAGATGTGGCGGATGAGTCGAGAGAAAGGCTTTGAGGTGGTGGAAATAAACAGAGAGGTGCATAGGTGGGATGGTTTTCAACGAGACAGAATTCACTTCGAACGGCGGCTAGGTCATGAGGTGGGTTGGGGACTTGCAGGACGCGCAGTAGCTTTTTTGGGGGGCAAGCGGGCCCTTCGGGGTGCAGGATAGCTAGTAACGTGGAAAACAACCAGGGAGACTTTTTGGCAGGTGGTATGGACAGATACGATTCCAAAGTGGCACCAGTATCGAAGGTAGAGTCCGGGGCAGAAATAGACGTAGCCACGAGCGCCGAGCCAATCCAGACACAGGGTATATTAACATGCAGGGTGGTAGGAACAGGCTGAAGTGGGAAGAGATAGAAGAACAGCTAAGGGAGGAGAGGCCGATGGTATATGGTTTTGTAGAAATACATCTCAGAGACATGGAACAACCTCCTAACAATGCGGACTACGCGTGGGAATATTGTAATAGAACAGAAGGCAGCAGAAAAGGGGGTGGTATTGGGACATTCATTCATAAAAGTACAGACTGGCAAAGGGTCAAGCAGGAGTGCAAGGAACATTTATGGCTAAAAGGGAAAGTGGCAGGGCAAATGGAACTCCTTGGTTTCGTGTACTTGTGGACGGGAGCAAAGGCCAGAGAGGAAAACCAGGCAATGGTAGAGTGTATATCAAATGACATTCAGGAGTTAGGAGAACAATGCGAGATAATTATACTAGGAGATATGAATGCGCACATAGAAGATATAGATGGGTATACCAACCCGACAGGCAAAATAATCATGGATATGTGTGAAAGGCTTTATTTGATCATTTGCAAGAAGACCGAGAAGCGTGAAGGGAAAATAACATGGGAGGTAGGAAGGCTGCAGTCGACGATAGCTTACGCACTGATGTCACATAGGATGAATGATAAGCTCAGGGAAATGCACATAGATGAAGGTGGCTCCAGAAGTCGGGGTATTGATCACAAACGTATCAAGCTAAGTTTTGAAAGAGCAGTGAAAGTGGGTAAGAGACAAGATGAGCAACTACAAGAAAAGTTTTATTCTGAAAGGCAAATTGAAATAGCCACTAAACAAATTGAGAAAGTAATCAATGAGGATAATAAAACAGTGTGGACATACAAGAATCTAATTAGACTGTTTGAGCTAGAGCTTGCTAGGGCATGTGACAAGTCACCCCGGAGAAGAAGACACAAACCCAAAAGTTGGTGGAATGAGGAAGTTAAGAGAGCCATAGCAAAACGTCAGGAAGCCTCTAGGGAACACAGACATGCTAGGCAGCGGGGTGAATCAACAGATGATGTTGAAAGAAAATCGGAAATCTTTCTAAGCTGTAGAAGGGATGCATCCCTTCTGATCAACAAAAAGATTAGAAGAAAGGTAGCTCAGTGGCTCACAGAAGTACATAAAAAAGATAGAAAGGCAGCTGAGAAATTTTGGAACCATCTAAACTCCCTAAGAAATGAGACGAGCCTAGAGCAGAGGTTTATAACTACAGATCAAGGTGCTAGGCTAGAAGGGGACGAAGCTGTTGACTTTATAAGAACAAGGGTGACAGAAAAATTTCAACAAAGAAGTGCTTTATGCACCACAATAGACAAGGATGAATCAAGTGGCGCAATGGCTACATTTTCACAACAAGAGTGGGAAAGGGCTGAGAAAAGGGTTCCTAGTATACATCAACAGGACCAGATGGCATTCCAATCACGCTAATAAAAACATTAGGTCCGAAGTCTAAGCAGGCTTGAGAGAGGCAGTGAGCAAAATAATAATCTATGGAGAAGTTCCCAATGGATGGAAACTTAGCAGGATGAGCATGATCTATAAAGGAAAGGGGGACAAAGCTGACATAAACAACTACCGTCCTATAACAGTGACATCAGTGGTCTACAGGCTGGTGATGCAGATTATAAAGGAAAGACTGCAGGCATGGATAGAGGATGAGGGGGTGCTGGGGGAACTACAGAATGGGTTTCGGAAACACAGGAGGTTGGAAGACAAACTGTTCTCACTGACGCAGTGCATCGAAATAGCAAAAAAGGAACACAGGCCCCTGTGGCTAGCATTTTTGGATATCAAGGGAGCGTACGATAGCGTCGTTCAAGAGGAATTGTGGGGAATACTGGACGCACTAGGCGTGGAAGATGTGGTCACTAATCCTTTAAAGGATATCTACAAAGGTAACAAGGTAGTTATAAAGTGGGAAAAACAGGTATCCAAGCCTGCAGAGGTAAAACGGGGGCTTAGGCAGGGGTGTCCCCTGTCACCCTTATTATTCATGATGATGTACCTACAAGGATTAGAGGCGAAATTAGAGGGAAGTGGACTGGGCTTCAACCTCTCTTTCGTCAAACAAGGAAAACTCATTGAACAGGCACTACCAGCATTGATGTACGCAGATGATTTAGTGTTAATGGCCGACAACAAGGAAGGCTTACAGAGATTGGTGGACATCTGCGGCAATGAGGGAGATAGGTTAGATTTCAGATTCAGTAAGGAAAAATCAACAGTCATGATTTTTAATGACAAGGAAGGTAGCGAGCTTAGAATACAGGAGGTCACACTAGAGATAACAGATAAATACAAATATCTGGGCGTATGGATAAGCAATGGGGCCGAGTACCTAAGGGAACACGAAATATACGTGTCGACTAAAGGTATCAGGAATGCAGCGGTAATGGAAAACAGAGTACTGTGGAATTACAATAGGTATGATGTTGTGAGAGGAATATGGAAAGGGGTCATGGTTCCTGGTCTGACGTTCGGCAATGCGGTCTTGTGCATGAAATCAGAAGTTCAAGCAACATTAGAAATTAAGCAACTTGGAATAGGTAGGCTTGCTTTAGGAGCTCACGGGAATACACCAAATCAGGGAGTCCAAGGTGATATGGGAAGGACATCATTTGAGGGCAGGGAAGCTAGCAGCAAGATAAAATTTGAGAAGCGATTTAGAGAAATGGGGAGGAGCGTTGGGCTAGGAAGGTATTCAGCCACTTGTACATGAAGAATGTCGATTCAAAATGGCGGAAGAAAACCAGAAAATTGACTGGTAAATACTTGGAAAACAGCAGGGGGCCTAACCAAAAAAGAATTATCGGTTAAGAAGAAGGTGAAGGAAGCTGAGACCAATATGTGGAGAATTGGCATGATTAAGAAGTCCGCACTAGAGATCTATCAAACTTTTAAGCAGGAAATTGCCAAGAAATGGATCTATGATAATACTCGGGGGTAATTCTCTACTGTTTGAGGCCAGGACGGGAGTATTGCGAACCGAGACATATCGGGCCAAATACGAAGGGGTAGACACGGTATGCAGTGCATGTGGAGAAGAAGAAGAAACTGCCGAACACTTGATAATGTTCTTTAAAGGGCTTCACCCTATAGTTCAGGACGATGGCGCAGAGTTTTTCAAAGAACTGGGGTTTAGGGACAGGCAGGTCAAGATAGACTTTAATCGGGTAGAATTAACTAGAAAGAGGTTATCTGATTGGTGGCTAAAGTCAAGGCACGAGTGAAAATTAAACCCTTCACTGCAAAGTACGAATCCTCAGCCTCATTATTTAGGGGAAAAATAAATCTAGTTTTTGGTTCATTAAGTATTACAGCTTGGTGGCGCTAGCCACCGCCCGATCTAAAGGGTACAGCCATATCCATCCATCCATCCATAGACGTCCCCACGCGGGAGACCTAAGGCCCGGTTGGCGAAAGCTCTGCCGGACTACCAATAAAGTTGTTACGAACGAGCCAATAAACCATATCTCCAACAAGTGTGCCGCTGCAGTGAAGGTGTCCACCTGTCCGTGCCTGTAACGGTGTATGCTGCGGCCTTTTCCCCCTCACTCTCAGCAACATCGCTCATTAATTATATAATTGCTGATAGAGTGTGTGAAAAGAACAAAAGAAGAAAAAACACATACCATAATCAGGCGAATGGTACAAGGTGTCATTTTTTTTTTGCCTCCGCCTGCCGCAATTCACTGGAAGGTAACGTATAACAGCTCAGCTGTGAAAAATTCATGTGGTGTTTTTGATTCACCATCGATTTGTGATAATATTATCGCCTCGATCCTAGCCAGAACACGTGTTTTCTGAAAGTGAAGAGGAAGAAGGAGACGGGGTTATCCTAGCCAGAGCACGTGTTTTCTGAAAGTGAAGACGAAGAAGGAGACGGGGTTGCCTACACCAGCTTCTCTTTCGCTGCTCCTCGTCGTTGGAAACGATGCCGGCGAACGCTCATCCGAGCATTTCGAGCAGTAAGAGCGGGTCGCGGAGAACGCCGTCCAAGGCGTCCCTGCCCGGCGTCGACGCTGAGCGCGGCGCCGACGCCAAGCCGCGCGAACATGGCCCGCACTTCGTTCCAGTAAAAAGGACCGCGACGCTTGAGAAGGTGTCGTACTCCGCCGAGCTTACGCCCGGTGAACGGCCAAGGCCCCAAGACAAGATCTTTCCGATGCCTCTCATATCTCTGGTGCCCTGCTGGGTGGGCTCGCTGTGCGTGGGGACGGCGCTGGGCTACTCGCTGCCAGCCGGCCGAAGCTTGCACCTTGCTAAGGACAGCGGAGCCTTCGACATCACCCATGCCCAGATATTCTGGTACGTCTTGAATATCGCGTTCACTAACACTGATAGTTCCTCGTGTATTCTTCGTTTCCATCTCTTGTTCTCGAGTCATTTTTAATCCCGAACCTCTAGATTCGCTAGAAATGCGGCCCTTTGTTTAGTCGCTTAGTTGAACGAACGCCCGACTTTGAAAGCAGCGCAACGTGAGATATAAGCTCTTATCCCTGCGAGAAAACAAGGGGGGGGGGGGGTCATCTGTCATGTTTTTCTATTGTAGTATTCGTGCATGCAACCACGTACCATTGCAACAATTTAATTGTTGGCAGACAGAAGGTCTAGCTGGAAGCGACCGAGGCACTTAGGTGAACGGTTACACCGCCAAGAGACGATGATTTTTTGCGAGCGCGCGTTGTTTGAACCGCGTAAAACGCATATTGGCGTCAGAGTAATATAACCCAAGAGCTATATGATTGCATGAAACATCACAATAAATTAGCTCAACGAAACATTGTTTCGCTAAATATAAGAGTTATTCAGGGAATAAATCTTTCCTTGTGCGTTAATGTCATTGTACCGCGGTGGCAAACGCCTGACTGCTTAGGGGGTGAAGGGAAATTGATGCAATAACAATTCTTGGAGTTTAGCATCCCAAAACCATGATATGATTAGGGCGGACACCGTAGTGGAGAGGTCTGGAAATATTTACCGCCTGGGTTCTTTTAACATGGGCCTAAACCTAGGTACACACGCCTTAAGCATTTCCACTTGACCGGAAATGCTACTGCCGAAGCCGGGATTCGATTCTGCGACCTTCTCCGTCAGCATTCGAGCGCCATAATTACTAGTACATCATGACGGGTATAAAATTAATGAACAAATGAAATGTTTTAATGGTGGTGGATAATGAAATCTTGGCCTGCAAGACCGAAGGCCAAGCCTGGCACACAAAAGGGGCTAAGTGGTCTTGTTGTCACGGTATTTTTGTATAACAATTGCAGTGCAACAAAGCAGAATGCGAGAAGACGACACGTAGACGCGCACACAGCGGTATACTTGCAAGAAATGTTTTATAATCAGGCACCATATATTCTCTTATGCAGTGTTTTGGGCACAGCAGCAACTAGCAAGAGAAAGAGCACAAACAGTGGCTCTTGAGAAATGTTTGAGCCGCTTATCATGCATGAGAAACGTACCAGATAGGCAAAAAGAATACTCATTCTTTTTATTCCACAGCTCCTGTGCAGGTATTGCACCTCGTTTTTTAAGAGCGCTATAAAATAGCGCACCACTGAGGCACGCCCCCTTATTATATCGTGGTTTGGGCTCGTAAGCTCCCATAAATTATCACTAGGGTTTGTGATGCAGCAATTTCTGAAAACATTTCAAGTTCATTCCTTCATAACGTTTATTATGGCGCTTATTATGACATTATGGCGCTTATTAACTTGGTCTACAAGCCAGGGCTACCATCCTCGCAAGCACAAGCGCTGATGCTTCTGTTGTTAGTGGCATCCACTTTGCTGTGGTACCGTTACGTAACTCTACATAACTGACTGCATAAAACATGCGAATGTTCAACATGTCGGTGCGCACAACACTTGTGCATATCTACAGCGTCATTAGGTAAAGTTTCGCTCAGTGAAAGAATACACAAGTCACTTTCCCTGCGCATGTTTCGCGTAACATCGATTTCCAATGGTATGTGGGATCTGCAGATTTCTTTTTTTCGCTTCTGTTTTGCCAGAAGTATATAATACTGATTCTACGATTGCAGGTTCGGCTCGCTGATGGCTCTGGGGGCAGTGTTTGGCAGCCTTGGTGGGGCCTTTCTGACGCAGCGTTTTGGGCGTCGCTGGAGTTTCGTGACTTCGGCCCTTCGGCCTGCTCGCCACTTGGTTGTGCATCGGCCTGGGACACGACGTGCACCTCTTCTTCGTAGCGCGCTTCGCCAACGGCTTCTTCACGGGCTTCGTCTCACTCGTCGTGCCCGCGCATATAGCCGAAATGTCTCTCGCAGCTCACCGCGGCACAGACGTAAGTGGACCACGCTGAGCCTGCTGTCACACTGCACCGTCGTGTGTGGGTGGTAGAGAGCGTAGCATCCGAGCGACGTGCTAGAGTGAAGCTGACAGAGCAAGGTCCCTTTATTTAATGCGGCTATAATTTTAGATGCGTAGCGCCTCATGGTCGAGCTCAATCGGGTGTGTGGACTGGCCATCCTCATGTAGCGTTCGCACTTGGCCTAGAAGAGAGCGAAGGCGGTGAAATTCTCCAGAAACTGCAGAACAACACACATAATAATATACAGAAAAAAGGGTCCAATAGGACTTGGCTCTAAGAGGGATCTTAATAAAGAACAACACCCAGATTTGCAGAAGGATAGGTCAAATAGTACTTGGCTCTAGGTGGTCCTGAGTAAGTAGCAATGCACATATTAATATTTGGAAAAGTAGGTTCAATACTACTTGGCTCTAGGATGGCTGTTATTCATGAACGACGGACATATCAATGTACAGAAGACTAGGTCCAATCGAATTTAGCTCCAAAGGGGGGAGGGGGAGGGTTGTCTCTGTTTATAGATGATCAAGAAAAGTTAATTAGCAAGAACACTGGTATTACAAAGGAACATGTGTCGTGGGTAACGACAAACAATAAAGCAAACAAAAACTGTGGCAACCAATAATCTTAAGAAGAGCAATGTAAAGTTGGTAATTTCATAAGCATGAAAGCATTTGTTTTTTTTTAAGTAAATAGAGATAGCAGAAGAAGAGTGCTGGTACGCCGTCTATAAATATTTAGATAACAGGTAGACATTTTCAATCAGATGCAGTTTAGTGATAATGATCATCAGGACAAAGTACACTCGATCGTGTTCCATCAAGAATTTCAATAGCGAATTGCAAGGAATGAAATTTAACAAGCGATAGGGAGTATACTAAAGCTGTATAAATTAATAAAGGACCACTGCATTATGAAATTACTGTTGCTGTAATGCCTTGGTGTTATATGTTCGAAGTGAGAGATGTGTAAATAAAGCGTGCATCACCCCTTGGGGTTGTACAATATTTAATATACAGGAGATTGAAAGCATACAATAGCTCAAATAACATCAGAAAGTTAAAATAGTGATGTTTTGTTACTAAAATTCAAAATCGCAAGCTAGTTTCTTTTTCTGAGTGACTGACGCGATTAGAATATTTTATGTTCCCGTCAAGAATAACAACTAAGAAGAAGCTTTCGTTGACAGGAGCAATGGACATCGTAATTTGCTTCCATTGTGCTTGGCACGAGTGAAATCGTTATTTGAGCAGAATGTCATCAAGATAGCGTAGTGTCCTTGCTGTCTTCTCTAAAAATCCTTTTACGTTGGGTCATATTACCGTGTGGCGTGAACTCGCCCAGCGTGATGCTCTGATGAAGCAGACATATCTGGTGTACATGGAGCAGTCTTTACGAGGCCCAGCTGCTGACCGGAATGAAGGTCGTGGGTTTGATACCGGTCGTGATGGTCGCATTTCGATGAAGGCGAAATGGTAGAGGCCTACGTACTGCGACGTCACAGTACCACACGTTCAATATTTCCGAATCTCTCCACTATGGCGTCTCTCATAATCCTATCGTGGTTTAGGGACGTTAAAACTCCTACAATTAATATTATTATCAGATGCATGGCCTAAGGTCGATTTGTTCGGTATATCTTTCTACTCATGTCGACGTCCATACGGCAACTGACCGCAGGAAAGCGCGCCAGTACTGCATCCATATTTGACCCCGTTTACCCATGCTATCGCCTTCAGGAACACATCAAGCATTGCGGCAATTGAAGCTTGTCAGAGCAGACGACACTGCCTGAAAAGCGTGCCCATATACGTGCACCGTGCAGGGAGCCACGCACCACCTGATCATCACAGCTGGGCATGCTGTACGCGCTCACCGCCGGCCTCTTCCTGGACTGGTCCCGGTTGGCGCTGTGCTGCGCGCCGCCCGCACTGCTCCTGCTGCTGCTGACCGGAGGCCTCCTGGTCGAGTCTCCGCGGTGGCTGCTGTGCGGCCACAGGCGACAGCGTGCCCTGGAAGCCTTGCTGAGCGTACGCTCAAGCCGATTCAGGGTGCGATGTCTAACGAAAACTTTCCCCACGAAAACGTCGGCACACGCTGCCTCAAGAAAATGCAAATAATTTGATCTATCTATCTATCTATCTATCTATCTATCTATCTATCTATCTATCTATCTATCTATCTATCTATATCTATCTATCTATCTATCTATCTATCTATCTATCTATCTATCTATCTATCTATCTATCTATCTATCTATCTATCTATCTATCTATCTATCTATCTATCTATCTATCTTTCAGCAACCGATCCTTCGCGGGCTCGTGACACAGGGGTGCTTGGAACACAACACTATCTATCTATCTTACTATCTATCTATCATCTTTAGCTTTACGGCTGCGAAGTTTTTAAGCAGACATGGCAGCGACCTCTATAACCACATATGGGTTAATAAAAGGCGTCAATAAATGCGCGTACTGATTTCAAACTTATGGTGTTTAGACGGGGAACTTCGCACTTAGAGATATGATAATTTTTAATGTACTTGTTTCCGCCTATTTCAGCTTTCATAATATTCACCTGCTAAAAGCTGTCCGTGAGCAAGAAAGTTATTCTTATCACATAAGCTTTCACATCCCCCAAATACGCAAATGTGCCAAGCAAGGGATAACCCATCACGTTTTATAAGCCAATAAAATAAGGTAATTCAGTACAGCCCCTCGCTTCGTCTTATGTTACCATACTGTGATAAGTTGTTACTATATTATCCAAATCTACCCCAACCACCTTCCCCAATTCCCCCCCCCCCCCACTCTGCCGAAGACTACTTTATAAGCGTGATCGCTAGCAGTATTACAGTAAGTTTACGCCACCTATAACTACATTTGGCTCTTATGTGTTGTTCCTTCCTCTGTGCATGTCCTGAGTGTAACACTAAGTGCAGCCCTGAATGAGTACTATCGGTGTTTTGCGGTTGCGCCTCGCTGTGCAGGCTGCGGCGGAAGCCGAGTTTGAGGCGATCGCCGCCATCTTTCCAAACTACAAGACGTCGCCAGCACACTACATGCTCGCCGTACTCGTCATGGGTGCCCAGCAGTTCAGCGGCATCAACTGCGTCTTGCTGTCCTCTACAAGCCTGGTTGTCACGCAGGAATACACGCACACCCTCAGTTTGCTGGCGCTCATTCAAGTACGAGCATAGGCTCCCAATATTTTCAAGCCATAGTCAGTTGGACATCACTTAGCTATGTACCCGTTTACACTACGCGCGGTTGGCCAAATGGTGAAGGCCTTGAAAAGATTCATAATATCCTCGGACATGTTGACGTACGCCTTACCACATTGGCTGTGCAGGCTAATGTGATTAGGAACAGCTAGAAAGTGTCTACAGGCATACAACGCCACATTAGTACCTTTCTCTATTGAGAAGAACAGTCACTAAATATCCGTCTAATATAGCCTTCTGTCATCTCTGAATATGAGCCGTCTCTCTATCGCATTGTTCTTCCATAGGATAATTTATTGCTCTACGATGCACTGTTTGGCCAAGGATGTTTTTAAAAATTGGGCGTTTGGCCTTGCATGGCTTGCCTGTATGCGTCCGCACGAAGAAGAAATGTACACTATAGCTCATACTTTGTGTGCATCAATTCAACTTATGCGAGAAGTAAAGTTCAGGGTTCTCATTCAGGCGTAGCGTATCTCAAGAATGTTACTTCGAGCACGCACAACCACACTCGCACCACAGTACATCAGGTCTACTCAACAGCGCTCATAAAAGTTCCACACTTAGATCTTTTTTTATTTTTTTTTGCAGCGAAAAGTGTTTTGAGATCGCACCAACAGCCGTTTTTTGGCTCCCTATAGCTGTCCGTCGCCACCGGCTTCGGGGTTAGTAATCGCAATCATACGAAATGAAAAAAAAAAACATGGCGGATTTTTCTCCCATAAAAATTGGTATAACACGAAAGGAAAATGTGTCTTCACAGAAGTAGTATTTCATGTGTAGTGATTAAGGTTTGAGTATTAATGTTTGGTAGCTATAGCACCATTTGACGGGGATACACCGACGTTGACGCCTAGTGGCACGTCTCTATCACGACTACTGACGTCCATAACCTTAATTTAACCATTTTAAATACTTTCATTGACGTTATCCTCTTATTTACCACATTTAAATACTTTCATTGACGCTATTTCCTCATTGACCACATTTAAACATTTTCATTGACGCTATTTCCTCATAGACCGTTTCTAAACACTTTCATTGACGCTATTCTCTCATGGATGTTATCTCTCAATGCTCGTCGCACCTTTCCAGGTTTCACGTTAGTCGAGCTGTTTTCTATGCAATTTCTAACACGGAAATTTATCTGTGGTAGAACACCCGCTTACCAAGAAGTCCTGCCAAGCGTTCAGTTCCTACTCGAACCGAAGACAATTTAACACGATATTGTTTTATGCTGGGGCCCACCAAGACTTCACTGACGTATTTCCGTCACGGAATTGCATTGTAAAATGTGCACTAACAGATGACCAAAAAAATGCAGACAGAAGAGAAAGTTCCATCGCTGGAAATCGAACACGCGAACCCACAACCGTTCGCTTCGTAGCGGACGGCGCTAAACAACTCGTCCACAGAGCGTACATTCTTCAGCATACTAGCGGCGAGCTACACCGTTTTCCGCCGGTTTTCCGCACGCTGAGCTCCCAAGCACTTCGGCATGCTCTCGCTATCTCCGTTGAGATAGCGTTAAAAAGATTGAAGGGCGCGCTCTGAAGGTGGTCGCCCCGTTCGTTGCGATGCGCGCACGCCACCTGCCTCTGTCACTTGTGCCTTGCTCTACAGGGGGTGGCCACCCACGCGAGCCTGCTTACCTCGTGATGGGGGTGCTTTGTAGCACGTGCTCTTCTTTCCCCGGAAAGTTCGTGTGGAATTTACCCAGCGCACGAAGGTCACTTCGCTCGCTGCAGCGGCCACGTTTGCGAAAGGATCGAGCTGCTCCGACACAAAGTATAACAATTGTGGCAGGTGTCCGCTCGCGCTCGTCCTATGTGTACTTGTGCGTACGTTTTACACGTCGTACTTTGTGCTTTAGCAGCTCACTTTAGGTGTGGAACTGTTGCTGTTGTAGGTTCACGCGCGTCCTTTATGTGCGCTTTTCCTGCGTCCCTTGTTTGTGACCAGTGGGCGGCAAACTCCGAACTGCCTGCCGTTTTTCGCATGAAATCGCAATTTGTGGCTGTCGTATTCGTTTCTTCGCCCATGTTGAGAAACTGCTACTCTTTTGTGTACTCGTTGGCGACATCACTGCGTGGAGTTCACGATAGGCTGTGGTCAGATAAATAATAAGTAATTCAGCTACCACAACGGTTAAACCATGATCATGGGTGCGAGTCCTTGGGATGCAGATGTACCACTACAAGCATCTACGGGGGCGGGGGGGGGGGGCATCTATGTCAAATGGTGCTATAGCTGTCAAGCAGCAATAGACATTGTAGTAGCTCTCGCATTTCAATGAACACGAGACACTTTTTATACTACTATACCGATTCCTATACGATGGAGTGATCAGCCATGTTTCTTCTACATGTTCTACTATCTTTTCGCTGAGAAAATCAGTCTAATATGTTTCACGGCATACATTGCGTTAACAAAGGTGGCCGAGAGTCGCGTATAGGAGCGAATGGGCTTGACCACGAAAAAATAGGAGGAAGAACTTAGGAGGAATCATGGGATAAGGCCTGTGTGACGGCAAGCAGCCATGTGTACTCACTCAGTGAGGCGTCCTGCTAATCGTAGCACTCGCTCCTCTAAATGCTTATTGGAATGTCTCCCTTCCGTAAGAAAAAAATCGGCAGATCTGACGAACTTGGGGATCGGGGATCGACGTTATACGAAGCATGTCGAGGGAAGGTGACCGTGTTGCAATTTTTTTATTTAACGACGCGTCATGAAATGATGCTAAATATATGTACTGAAACGGGGTGTTGAACAAGCAGGAGTTGACTCAGTGAACGAGAGATTTATTCATTGCAAAGGCTAACTGCAAGCCTGCGATCACAGCGTGCCTTCTTATTTCTCCACTAGACCTCCGTGTCCACTGCCCTCGTTACAGTACAAATGCTGCACGCACAGACATATGTTGAATAGTTGCATATGTTTATATAGCCAGTTGTTTGCACTTGCGCAACAATGCCAACTGGAACATGTGTATTAGCAACACCAGAAGCTGATATGAAGCGCTGATGCTCGCGAGGATGCTAGCCCTGGACACTGCTACATATCAACTCCAGCGCATGGCAACTAACCCAATTGATCTTAACCCGATGTGACGGCTGTATAAAAGGAGTACATATGTAATGTTTATAAAATTGAGTAGGCAGCACTGCAACCACTATCGACGTTTCACGAAGATTAGCGTCTATTTGAAAAGTAGTTCCGAGACTTGGCGCAGCTTTGTGGTAGCATGCTTGACTGTCACGCAGAATTCTTGGGTTAGATTCCAGCTGAGACCCTCACATTTATTCTTTGCATTCGTCGGGTCGACGCTACCCATGTCGGGTATTTCTTAACGCTCGCGCGATAAAATTGCCCATGTGTGTTATCGCCGTTGCTGGGTAGATACCTGCATACCAGTGGCACATACCCGCCCGTGGGTATGTACCACTGTCTGGCGGGAATGTTTCACGACGTACGCGACGGGATCGTGACATTATTAATGTCTTGACCAGCACGTCATATTCGTCAAAGCATCTTACCCTCCCACGCTAATTTTCGTTCTCGCCGAGTTAAGGGGGTGATCACGAGAGCACCAAAACGTAAGCGGCTTGATAGATAGATAGATAGATAGATAGATAGATAGATAGATAGATAGATAGATAGATAGATAGATAGATAGATAGATAGATAGATAGATAGATAGATAGATAGATAGATAGATAGATAGATAGATAGATAGATAGATAGATAGATAGATAGATAGATAGATAGATAGATAGATAGATAGATAGATAGATAGATAGATAGATAGATAGATAGATAGATAGATAGATAGATAGATAGATAGATAGATAGATAGATAGATAGATAGATAGATAGATAGATAGATAAAGTTCAAAGTCGCCGAAGTTCGCTAAGAAATGCTTCGCATAAAAAAAATGCCAACCCCTTGTGAGCAAAAGCCAACTTCTTGGTGCATTTTGGAATTCTCGATGTTTGGTTACAAAGGTTCCCGGTAATTTTTAGTCGTTGCATCAATATATTTTCCAATTAATTGATGCAGCACCTACGTTTCCGAATATAGCTCTATATCGAGAATACCTCCATTTACCAAACGCGTTTGACTGCGACATTGCGATGACCTCGCCTATTCATCGCATGTGCGGCAGTTCCTGGTGGCGTCTCTCGTGGTGCCCTTCCTGGACCTGGCGGGTCGGCGCAAGTTGCTCCTACTCTCCACTATTGTGTGCTCGGGTAGCCTGATCACGTTGGGCTTGGTCTACTACCCTTCAACCCCAACAGTTACCAACGACATCGAAACGACCACGCTGCATGTTTCGCAGTCGGTGGTGCCAGTTGCCACCGCTTCCACTGCACACCAGCCAAATGGTGCAACGTTCGCCTTACAGGTGAACGCTATAGAATAGACCGAGTAATCCTAATTTCTAAAGAAAACTTAGTTTTCTTCTTTAAACCTCGTTCTGAAATCACATGAAGCCCACCTTTATCATTTCTTCATCACTTCAACAAGCTATTGTGCGAAGTCATTATATAATCACTTGTGTCTGCAGGTCACGTGTCTTCATATGCGCACCATCATATTCACGGAAAAAAAGTGGATCTTACGAAATATCTGAGAAATGTTGCGTTCATGTTTCCACGAAGAAGCCTCAAGAGCCGATGTTCAAGTATTCTGGGTTCTCTTTGAGCTTTGATACGTGTGCTAGGGAAAAAAAAAAGCCTCAGCTGTCGCTTTTAGCTAGGCAAATAATTGTCCTAATGAACGAGTTCATCAGAAGAAAAGAAATATACACCTTTTCTAAAACCATATATCTTTGGTAAGCATCACTGACCTAGAATCTCTCGCTATTTCTACATTTTTGAAGGAACCTGTTAAGCACTTAGTTTTAACTTTGCTAGGTAAATTGTGTGAAATTATGGTTATATACGAAACCTGCGCGTGAAAAACCGGGCCTATATATTTGAAAATGTAATTCGAAATGGGCGTGTATGTACACGATAATTTATGCTTAATCACCAAAACGAAGCTTTGAATATTTTCGAAATAGCGGAATATATTCACAAACAAGGTTTGAACAAACGAAGTGGCCTTACATTGTTCATAACGTCTACACAAATGTAAAAATCACGGCGAGAAAAGACGTACAACAAGCGCTAATCTCCTCTTGCATTGTGGTCTTTCCACGTCCCTGTTTCTTGAATTTGCACGGCAGTTCTGAAGACCTACCTAATTGATTTGACTAGCCCGCTAGTCCCCTCTAAGTGACTTCGCCGTGACATTAGCGACATGGAGGGGGGGGGGTAAATTACTTGCAGCTGACATGGTTTCGTAGTGCTTTGATATTGAAACAATTAGTATCTGGCGCGTAAATAAATACAGTTAAAGTGATAACCTTCAAAATCATAACTTATTCTATGCATGGCTACGCTTCTTTTCGATGCTAAGAAAGATGACACACGTTATCTTTAGATTTTCAGATCTCATAGAAAGTTAGAGTGTTGGTCAACAAGACTGACATGTGCTTTTAAAATCTGTAGATTGTTTGGGAACGCCATCTGGTGCGCGTATTCTCATCGGTGCAGGCCTTTCTGGTCGCTGGCTACTCTGCCGGTCTGGGTCCGGTGCCATGGATCCTTGCCGTGGAATTGACTCCGCTGCGTGGCGATGGCATGGAGCTGGGAAGCGTGTACGCTGCCAGTTGGACTGCCTTTTTCGTGACAGCCAACTACTACTCCACGACGAGCACGTTGCAGTGGCTGGTCGTCACGCTGTGGGTGTACAGCTGTCTGACTCTCACCAGCGGTTTCCTATTCCTGGTCTTGCTGCCGGAGACCTGCGCATGCGTCGATCGAGGACGTGCTGCTCATGGGTCATGGCGTAAAGGTGGGCAAAACAACAGTGCAGTTGCCAGTTTGCCACGTACCCTTTAGTTTCACATTCTCTGGATAAACTGGCATGCAGAAGCCTCTAAGATAGGTGACTTGCAAATTGTGAGATTGCGGTGACATTGCACAGGTCTCGATAAACGCAAATTTACGGCCTTTGTGAGAGCGAGCTGAGAACAAAGAGCATGCAACAATTAGATATTCAAATTGAAAGTAAAGATTTATTTTTTAATAGATGTCAGTCTCTGCCCAAGTGGTGCGGCGAAAAAAGCTGCCACCGGCAACCACATCCCCGCGTCAGCCTAAAATGCGTAATGCAAAGAGAGCCGTCCGCAAGCGAACGTGCTTATGTCCTCCTCTTTGGTTGGTTTTGTGAAGCGTTTTTCTGAAAAGCAATAACCTGACAAGCTTCTTTGTTCAATCCAACATCACTTCAGAAAAGTGGGAAGCTCATCATATTAACGAACTGCGGGTACAATGGAAAAAAACGTTTCAGTTATTTCGGCGTACTGCAACTGGCAATTTAAGTGCAAGCGAGCATTGCATGACATCGAGTTTGAGGCAAGCATTCGACATGTGTACTGTAACGCCTAAATGCGTCGAAATTGGGCATACACCTGATGCCAAAGCGATGAAGCGCATATACGAGCAATATATCTTACGATCAGTGGTGGGAAGCTCGTTTTATCCGGCACGAATGGTTCCGGCAATTTTCGCCTTTACAGTTGCATTCTCCGCCAATCCCTTGCTTTCTGTGCGTTTCACTGTTCTATTAAGCATCCTAAAATGTTTTGTTGACGGCTGTTTTCCGCTTGTATATACTGCTAATAGGGACACATGTGTGTCCACGTTTTTCGTGTATACAGTGAAAGGCAGAACCGAGGTTTGTCTCCGAGATAGCGCCGGCAATTGCAAAGACCAACGGCAAGAAAAACCAGATTGTGGTCGCTATCATTTTGAAAGTTACTTGTATGGCATGCGCATAGGACGTGCATTTTCGCATTTCCTAGATAAAGCCGGAACTTTGAGCCTTCAAAGCCCTACGCGTGTAATGCTGTGTGATGGCGACAACTTTATATTACCAGTGGTCGCGGCGTGTGCGATGTTTATCGCGCGCGTCACCTGTCGACTGTTGCATGACCCGCAGCACGGTCATAGGCTCTGTTAAGCTTCATAATCAAGGTTAGCATGGTTCGCCGTCAAGGCTACTCAAAACAATGACAGGAGACCTACGTTATCACACTTTCTCATGTGACCAGCTGTGGAAAACGCCACTAATTCACTTACCCAACATGTTCGCAACGGCCCGTATTCGTCGCTGTCACCGTTCTGCTTCGCGAAATCTGCAGAAATCGATAAAATTGGAAGTACTTTACGTCTGTGGCAATTTACAAAGCAACCAGCGTTGAATGAGGTCGGTCTTCGTAGAGCGCGGAGCTTTTGCGTCTGCTCTTGTTTTCGTCGTCGTTCTGGCGAGTGAACCAGCAAGCACTTCACGGCGGTTCGGTGACGCGGCCGACTATATAGCGGAGAGAAATTCGCAGCTATGCTTCTAAGTGTCCGGTGCACAAATACACCTAAAGTTTAGCTCAATTGCTGTCTAGTACGCTGTAGTTGCCCCTGGTTGCACAGCAAACTGTGCAACCGGAGTCGGGTTTTGCACTACTCAGAACTGCATCGACAGGTGGCGCTGCGTGTCCGAAAAGCAGAGTTTGCGGCGTAGCGAGTGAGACACAGGAGCATCTCGTCCTTCACTGCAGGAGTCTCCCAACTTCTCAGGTGGAGGGTGCAACCCTCCCACAGGCGCTCGGGTTTCAAAGGCTTGATGAAGATGGAAGCAGCGACAATGGGGGGGGACGGTACGCGGTCGCAGCCACGAAAAGGCGGCTTACTGAGTGGTGGGCAACTATACGGCGGACTTAGGACCTAGACCACTGTGTGCGCGTCTCTTGCCTGTGTCGTTCAAGAGTGTGGATCCTTTTCTTGGTCCTTTCTTTTTTCTCTGTGCTTTTTGTTTTTCTTTTCCCACTTTTCTTTTTGAGGCCAGGACACTGAGTGTGTTCCCCCGTTGCAAAGGGGCCGGCCGCCATCACATCATCATCATCATCATCATCATCATCATCAGCTTCAGAATCTGGCGTCTTAGCTTTACAATGTTCACAATGCTGTAACATTGTTTGTAAGCTTCATTTCTTGTCACTAAACTCAAACGCAAAGTATTAATTCTTATCAGTCCAAGCAGAAATTAGTAGCGAAGTGCATTGCCCCTTTACTTCCTTAAACTGCAGATCCTTGTGACAATGTCATTTAAGCTTCATTTTTCGCCACTATATTGCATGACCTGAACAATAATTATGCTCGTATTTTGGTCATGATTTTTAAAGCAGCAAAACCGAACCACAGGTTTTTACAGCATCTGCTCCTTGTCACGCTAAACTTTTCCATTGGCTGTGCCGTTAGGGACGTCATTCTGTACGTCGTGCCCAAGCGCGTGCGCCACTGGCTGCGCCGTCTGTGACGTCGTTCTTTCGTAGTACCCAAGCATGCGCGCCATGGCGGGCGGATACTTGGAGGAAGCGGCGAGGAGGCGACGATGCGGGCATAGCAGCATCAATGTGGCAATGGCGCGAACGCGTTAGGTGCCAACTTGTGCTTTAGTCAGGAGTTTGTCGGATAAGGCCACCTCGTCTACCATGCATGTATGCGGTGAGCATCTCGGCAGTGTTCGACGACGCAGCTGTCAACTCAGCTCGTCTCGTCGACAACATGCATAAAACGCTTAATTGAGGTGTTCGAACGCATGAGGGTACACAGCGATGTATGTAAGCGATTCTCAAAAGAGAGAAAAGAAGATAAAAGTGAGCCCCGCAACTGTCTGCATCATAGTGCGACACCTCAACATTGGCTCACGAGGGATGGGGATAAGGAGGGTTTAAAAGGGATAGGGGAAGAGGTAGGGGCAGGGACAGAGAGACCCACATTCAGAATTAAGGAGATAGGAAAGATGGACACGGTCACAGGAGTCCGAGGACGGGGTGCCATTCAGCGAGAGCTTCCCGGCGTCAGGAGATGGCGGAGGGTGAGCCGGTCAGCCATAGCCACGCTGTCGTCGGAGATCGTGGAGGCACAACTGGTCGGCACTAGAATCCAGCGAGCGAGTCACAGTGATGGCAGACAACGTTGGTCCGTACAGAAGGTAGCGTTCCTTGAGCGCGTCGAACTTGTGAACAATGATACTGTGACATGTGCGCTACGCGTGTACAATCTGCGTCCTCTTCAACATCATCCACCACCGGAAGATCTGACCATTGAAACCAACGTTCGAGATTCTCTGACTAACCATCTTTACGGAGTGCGAAAGCTGTTATGAGATCACAACTTGGATCACGCGGAGTTGTCCGCCGCCGCCTGTGTCCGTAACCACATCGTGCGAAACGAGACATAGTGGGGCTGGAAGCCCTGGTATGCTGGGTGTCCGCCCAGTATTTAACCACCGAACTACGTCGGTGCTTGTGACTTGTTGGCAAAACCTAGCACCAAAGACACAGTGTGGCTCGAACCCGGGTCCGCTGGGTGCCAGCCGAGTGTTATACCACTGAGCTACGCTCGTGCTTGTGACTTGTTGGCAAGCCTGCCTTAGCCAGGCTTGATGTCGGGAAAGCAATCGTGTTATTACGACTTATACAGCGTTTTGAAACAGCGAAAGAGCAACGAGCCATCTCACAATGTGAATAGCGTAACGAGTGGGCCGTCCTTTACTCCAACACATTACAAAAGCTTGTTCTTGTTTCCTTATAAACTGTGGCGTATACACAATTCACCTATAATTCCTCATCGTCGTCAGCCGTTGCATGAACAATGGGCACGAAATTCCTTGCGTGTGTGTAGCGGACACCGCACTTCTCAGAAGAATGACTAAAAATAGCATAGCGAGAATGCCAATCCCCCTGAATGTATGCGAGCCATGAGTGCAAGGGAAACAAACAAACGAATGCCAGCCTACTACCCATAAGTTTAATATTGATGTCCCTAGTGGATATCGAAGCGATTGAGCTTGCCGTAGTTACCCAATGAGTGTTTTGAAAAGACTCTGAAGGGCCGCTCTTCTAGCTTACGCTGTGACTGTGCTGCACCTTCCGTGCAGTCCTGGCGTTTTGTTTTTCTCTTTTCGTAGTTTCCAACCCGATCTCTTGCATTCCAATACATTGGTGAGTACGTTTGTCTGTGGGCTCGTATTAGCACATTTCTATATAGTTGGAGAGCGTGTCACATAGCCGTCTGCAATGATAATTTATTGAAAACTGTGGTAGCTTTGAAAAACAAGCATTGTCTATGATGTGCCTGCACAACGCATTGATTTAGTAACCACACGCTTCAAGAAAGAGCATGCTTTACAAGTTTACAACCATGGCTGTCCGTGTTGCAAATTACTTGACTTCAAAATGGCACCGAGAACTTGGAAATTACGACGCTCAATCTGGATTGAGTTATTGATAATGTGAGGTTTAACGTACTCAAAACCACAATATGATTATGAGAGACGCCGTAGTGGAGGGCTCCAGAAATTTCGACCACCTGGGGTTGTTTAACGTGCACCCAAATCTGAGCCCACAGACCTACACCGTTTTCATCGAAAATGCAGCCGCCGCAGCCGGGATTCGATCCCGCGACCTTCAGGTAACCACACAATCTCAAGATAGTATGGCGCTACTTGCATATACTGTTACTTAGTATCAGTTCTAACGACGTAATCTACTTGAGGGCTCAATAAAAAAGTACGATGTTCATACATACATACATACATACATACATACATACATACATACATACATACATACATACATACATACATACATACATACATACATACATACATACATACATACATACATACATACATACATACATACATACATACATACATACATACATACATACATACATACATACATACATACATACATACATACATACATACATACATACATACATACATACATACATACATACATACATACATACATACATACATACATACATACATA